TGCCCACGGCAGCCCCCAGCCGGCGCGTCCTGATCCCCCGGGCTCTGCGTCGGGCCATGCTGGGTCCTGCCATGTGCCCCCACCCGACTCCTCATCCTCCTCTCTCCGCCCGGCAGATCAACAAGATCATCGAGACGCTGAACCAGCAGCTGCAGACGAAGGGCCGGGAGCTGAACGAGTTCCGGGAGAAGCACAACATCCGCCTCATGGGCGAGGACGACCAGAAGCAGCCGCCGAAGGACAGTGCGGAGGGCAGCGGGCCCAAGGCCAGCTCTGCCGGCGTCCTGGTCTCCTAGGCGACTCGCCCCATGCCCTGCCCCCTTCCCCAAGGACTGTCCACCCCCTTCCAGGGCCCTGGTTCTCTCCCCCACACCCAGCTTAACTTTATTACTTGGGCGTCTCGTGTTGTATTTTTGTTAAATAAATTTTTTTTTGGTCGTGAGCTCAGTGCACAAGTGGTGGAAGAGGGGCTGGGGGTGTAGCTGGGGCAGGAGCTCGTCTGCCCCAGAGGGGATCCCCAGGTCCCCTCTGGTTCAATGCCAGCATAAGCCCTATGTGCACAGGGGCCCACGTCCTCATGGAAGGGAGGGCCTGGCTTGTCCGTCCATCCCACAGGAGGGATTCAGGGTTTATCTCCTCCAGGGACTCCAGAGGCTTGGCTGGGGGAGGCCAAGCAGGAGAAACCCCAGGCCTCGAAGCCAAGCGTGGAGAACAGCATTGCCGTCAGCCTCCCCACCATCACCGTGCCACGGAGAGGGGCAGTGAGGCGGGCACCTGGTGGTACCCCACAGAGGACAGAAAGGGGACAGATCCTGTTCCACGGGACCCTTTTATTTCCCATGCACCATGCCTGAGCCAAGGGCAGGCTGCACTGCTCGCAAGAGGAAGGCGGGTTGTCTGGGCCACACAGAGGATGCCGAGGAGATGGTGGGCGCTCTCTGCTCACTCGGGGATGTCCAGGACACAGACCTCGGGGCAGGGCGTCTTCCCATCGGGCCCGAAGCCCCCAACCAGGTACAACTTGTCGTCCCACAGGCAGGTGCGGTGCCCGACCCTCTTCTGGCGCCTGTCTGAGCCAGGGAAGTGGAGCCAGCTCGGGGAGGAGCATCCTGGGAAACACAAGAGGAAGGGCAGAGCATGGGGACTTGGCCAGGAGGGTCCCCCTGCCAGCCTGCCTTATCTAGCCCTGCCCGCTGCCGGCAGGCTCCACATCAGAGACCACCAAAGGGAAGCGGGCATCGACCTGAGGAGCCTCCAGGATGTGAGCGACAGCCTGTTGCAGGGACACCCGGGAGCCGGGACTCTGGTGACTCTGAGCAAGCCATTTCCCTGTCATGCCTTGGTTTCCCTACTCTGGGCATGGGGTGCACCCTGTCACAGTGTGATTCAGAGGGGGTTTGCCCTGAGCAGGTGCTCAGGGTTTGCCTGATACCCAGCCCCAGCAACCAGGAGCACTCTCCTTCCAAATCAGAGCCCAGGTTAGAGCAGCCAGGCCTCTGTCCTCCAGTAGCTCCAGCCTGTGGGAGAGTTGGGTGACAGCCCTGACCGCCCCCAGGGCAGTGCCCGGGTGCAGGTGTGGGTGCTATGTGGTCTTGGAGATCCTGGGCCAAACGAAGCACGCGGGATCTGCAGTCTGCTGCTGCTGGCTTTCGCCTGAGCTCTGGGAGGCAGCTCCAGGTCCACTCAGGGTTGTACTAGGCATCGCTGGCTACCGAGCTGCTGTGGGAACAGGGTCCGGACCAGGACGCCCCTCTCCAGGCAGTGTCCAGCCCGGTCCTTGCTTCCTCTCCGTGGCCAAGGGAATCTCGACCTCTTTGCAGTGTTGCAACTTCAGCTTCTGAGCTGCAGGGTTGTGGCTGCTTTCAGCAGGTGTGGGCCCTGGCACTGCCACTCCCATGAGCCTGTGCGCAGCAGCTCCGCCTCCCTTTGGAGCAGGGGTGGGGTGTTGCATGCTGGGAACTGTAGTTCCCCCCCACCTGTATCAGAGGGAAGGTGGCTACAGGCTGCTCAGGCCGAGTCCAGAGCCACACGCAGGGCATCCAGGGTCCAGTAACTACCCCAGACCATGGGCTTCCCTCACCCTCCCTCTCTTACCTCCTTCCTTCACCTTTCCCACCCCCATCTTTGCCCCTGGCCCCTCCCTGGACCCACAGCAAATCTTTTGGGCCATGCCAGGGCAGAGCTGTCACTGATTTGTGCCCTACGGTCACCCAGGACTGCTTAGCATTGGGCCAGGAGACGGGCAAGACACAGATCTTTGCTCCAAGGCAAGAACTAAGGGAGAATCACCACTTCCACCTGCAATATGGGGCTAAGGAGCCACAAGCTGAGCAGTCCTGACTCCTTCCAGTAGATGGCAGGAGTTAGCGCATGCATGCACACACACGCACACACTTGTGCATGTACACATACACACAGCTCTGTGCAAGCGCATGCCAGCCAGTTCCTTGCTCCCATGACATACTTGTGTCATAGATGTAGAGGTCATTGCAGACGGCATCTCTCCCCTTGGCCAATGTTTCCCCCCCAAAGACCACGGCGAAAGGCCCGACCATGCTGCAGGACTGGTGCCTCAGGCCCTTGGGAGCCTGCGGGGAGCCTCTCCCCGAGCCCACCAGGCGAGAGAGCTGCGCCGTCAGCTTCGGCGCGTGCACGGGCTCCACCTGGGGGAACGGGAAGAGCAGAGGGTGAAGACGGGGTGGGTGAGCCCAGGAGCAGGCTCGCCCCTGGGGAACAAAGGAGATTTCCCCCGCAGCCGTGTGCTGTGGGGAGTGGGGCAGGAGCACTGGCTGGGGGGTAAGGAGAGCTCCTGGCTACTTGCAGTCTCCCACTGAAGCTGCCCGGTGCAAAGGGCTTGTTGCAGGCAGGAACCATCCAGCGCCATCAGCCACTCACATGGATTTTGGCCTTGCTCCAGTGTCCGGCCACCTCCAAATCACAGGAGTCGCGGCCCCCAAACACCACCAGCCGGTAGCCGCCAGGGTCGTGGAGCAGCATGGCCGAGTGCCCGGCCCGTGAGGCCAGGCGCAAATCCTCCTCCTTGTACCTACAGCAGAGGGGAAGGTTCCTGCCACCCCCGTACCAGGGTATTTGGGGGACCTCTTAAGCCAACTAAGGGGCTGGTGGCTGCCATCCAGAGGCCCCCCTGCCATGCACAGGAGACCCCGCTGCCCAGGCCCAGAAGGACACCGCATTACCGTAGCAGCCAGTTGGGGGTCTGAGCCCCCCAGTGCAGTTGGGAGCAGCTCAGACCTTTAACGACTCCCTTGGGTGTGTTAAAAGGGCCCCCAAACAGCCTGGGAAGTGAGGGGTCCCCATCACACCCAGGCAGGCCACCTTCCCAGAGCCCTAGCGGGGCCTGGGTGAGCTGCCCCGCAGGTACCTACCAGTAAGTCTTGGTGGTGGGGTTGATGCGCAGCGTGTAGAGGCTGGCGAAGCGCCGCTGGGTGCGCAGGCCGCCCTGCCGGCCCACCACCCGCAGCTCGTGCTCCGACACCTTGGTGCAGGTGTGGCTGCTGAGCCCCACCGGGGGGTCGTTGGAGGGCCCCTCGGCCCAGCGCTCCCAGCGCCCCTGCTCGGCATCGAAGCAGCCCACCGACGAGATGCGGTGCGCGCCGTCCCAGCCGCCCACCACACACAGCCAGCGGTCGGCCAGCACGGCCGTGTCATGGTGGCTGCGTGGGTCCCTGCTGTCTGGCACCACCGTCTCAGCCGTCAGCAGCACAGGGTCAAAGGCCACTGTGTCCCCCAGCGGCGGCTCCTTGGGCTCGCCTGACCTCAGCCCCCCGAAAAGCAGCAGCTTCCCCCGTACCACGTCGCAGGAGTGGTGGGCGCGGGCGAGCAGGGCATCCCGGGCAATGGGCTTCCACTCCCAGAGGCTGGGGGCAGCGCTCATGCCAGCACTGACCTGCAGGGAGCAAAGCAGCCGTCAGCGCCCCCCAGCCAGCGGGCGCCATGTTTCGGCCTCGCAACCAGACCCCCCGGGCTGCTCCCTGCTCTGCCACTGATTCACAGCATGGCCTCAGGTAAGTCATGTCTCCTCCGCTTGACAACACGGATGATCAAACCCCATTGATGCGTTCATTGCTGCCGCCTGCTGGGTGGAAGCAGGATGGCCGACTGTGTGTCATAGGCCCTGCACTGCAAATAGTTAGCAATGATTCTCCTTCTACACAAATGGTACAGGCCTAAGTGCCCAGCACCCTGGTGCTGTGTTGACTACTGCATGTAGGATGGCAGCAGCTGTGAAGTCCCAGGGCCAGATCCTGTTCCACTGACTGGGCACCTACATGCACCCACGTGATTAATAGGGGCCCAGCTATAAGTTCAAATGAAAGCTGGATAGAAACCAGCTCTAGAGTTGTTACACATTTATCCTGCATAAATAACTTTACAGTGGGTTAGCTCTTTTTATAGTTGGAGATAATAAATGTATTGTGGGATCCACAAATTGCATAGTATATGTAACATGCTTTGCATGTGTGGCTGCTCTAAATTTCTTGCACGATTCACTATTGACTCGCTTAATATATGTAATGTACTTTGCATGTGTGGCTGCTTTAAGTTTATTGTGCGATTAATGAATTGCATAATATATGTAATGTATTTTGCACGTGTAGACACTACATTTATTGTGCAGTTCAGTGAATCACATAATAGATGCAACGTGTAGCAGGGGCCGAAGTGTGAGTTGCTGTAGTTCAAGTGCCATGAGATGCAAGGGTTAACGAGCTGGGTCCGGAGCCCTTATGCATATGGTGAGTAGTGTTACTGATGGGCCCTGGGAGGAGAGCCTGGGCTCTGCTCTGGCCGATTAGATAGGCAGGCACATACCCAGCCAGCCACAGGCATGCCTCTGGAGCCCGGCTCAGGGCTGAAATGAAGGAGCGGAGGGGGAAAAGAAAAGCCTCCACAGCTGGGGAGGGAAAGCAGAGGGAGGAAGGATCCTCAGAGGAGCATGGGGGCCAGGAGCTGCTGCCCCCAGTCCTCCCACCAGCCCTGGGCATGGCCCTGCATGCCAGGCACCAGGGGCTCCCCATCGCCCGGCCCTTTTTGGCGATGGAAGCAGCGTAAGTGGCTATACGGGCACAGGGCACTGCTGCAGACAGGTGCCCGGGGGAGATGCCATGATGATGGTTCGGGCCCAAGTGGTTTCACTGACCTGGCTGGGGAGAGCCCTCCTCGGTCCGAATGACTCAGTGTAGCTAGAGGGCGAAGGCCTGCCCCTTGCTGCGGGGGCGACCCCTGCGAGACTCTGTAAATGCCTCCAAGTTCAAGGATCTCGGCTACACGGTTTATGGGGGCAGGGGATTGCTTTCCCTCTCACTTGCTCTTTTGGCTTGGGGCAAGTGGGACTTGGGGGCATCTGACCCCCAAGGTCTCTGGGATCGCCCGTAGGATGCTGCCATGGACCTGGGGTGCTTGAAGCCCCAGGCTGAAGAGGACGCACCGCACAGACCTGAGCGATGGAGCTCTGCTCGCTCGATAGACCTCGCAGCTGGTTTGGCCCCAGGCAGGACATGAAAAATAAAAAACCCGGATAAAAACTCCAGGTGGGGCCAGGCCGGTGCAGCCAGGCCTTGCATGCCGGGGCCAGGGCTCGGGTTGGCGCTGCTCCGGCCTCTCTTGGGTGGGCTTCAGCCAACCCGGGGGGGGCAGCCTCTGCTCTCGCTGCACCGATGCACGGGGGTGGGGGATGGGACCTGTGTGTCGCCACCCCCTGCCCGCGCTCTGCTGCCCCCCAGCTCACCCAGACCCCTCCCGGCCCCCCTCTGCCCAGGGGCACCCCCAGCTGGAGCCCGCCGCATCCCAGGGGGAGCCTGGGTCTCCCCCAGCCGCCTCCCCATGGCACC